CATGGTGTTTGATGTGAACATTAACTGAAGACCTGTATCGGCATGATTTTATGAATTGCGCTGCTGCCACATGATTGGCTGATTTGATAATTGCACGAATGAGTGAACAGATATACAGGTGTTCCTAATAAAGTGGTACAGGAATAAGCTTTACTGCTGCACTGAATATCAGGTCTGCATGCCTTTCTGTACTTGTTCCTTCTACACTTCCCTTGTTGAAACAGCAAAGGACACATGGTTTAGTCACCTCCCTTGCATGGCAGTAGCTGTCAGTGTGAAGGACTGAGGCTTCATTGTGCCAGAGGGAAGGCACGATACCATGAGCGTGCAAGACGAGTGGTTGCTGTTGTCTCTGAGCCAACATGGAAATCATAAATCGAGTTTCAAAATACAGGAAAGACGATCTGTACTGAAGCTGCACGCCTATTTATGAGAACAGACTATGATTATAATACAAACAACCTAATAACAAGATAAAAAAGAACATGAAATATAAGAGAAAATAAGCACACACACACAAACGTAAGATAACGAAATGAAATTAACAATAGATAAAGAAAATTAATTTATATAATACACTGCAAAAATGATATCTTAGCAAGTGAAAATATCTAAAATATTAGCAAGTGTATCTAATAATTATAATGATGATTTAGCTTGTTTTAGATGCTTTTACTCATTTCAAGCTTTAAATTTTTTTTATTCTACCAGCAGATCATTTTGCTTCTTTCTAGAAATAAATGCTTAAATTTAGAAAAAAATATCTGCCAATAGAACAGGATTGAAATTAGTAAAAGAAATGTCTAGAAATAGGTTTAATGGTCATATATTTGGTTTTTATTGTAATCATATAAAAGATAAATTTGACTATATATTGAAGATGTGTGAGAAGCCACGCAGCTGAATCCTGTACCGTCTGAGGTTGAGCAACTGTCTAACTGTTCAGGCACGATACAATAATCGAGCCTGGAGGAAATTAAAGCATGAATAACTTTCTGTTTCAGAAAAAGAGAGACTTGATACCATTTTTGAGATATTCCAAACCAACTTCTTCACATGCTGTGTGAAACTCTGGAATAAAAAATGGCTGCTAGTTTTCATAGTGACAGTCTTAGCACAAAGTGTGACAGCATTAAGGAAAGAGTGTGAAAAGTTTGAGACCAATGAAAAAGAAGTCTGATTTCAGCTGTAAGAAGTTGTATGGCATCCAGTTCTTATGCATTCCATCTGCAAAGTGGGAAAAAAACATGGATGCCTTCATGTTCATCATCTTCATCTCTCTGGTTATTGACTGATTTAAATCAGATATTAGTATATACAATATGGGTCCCTGGAGGACTAGTGGTTAGGTCTCGCGCTCTCTCCGCTGTGGCCCGGGTTCGATTCCCAGCCAGGGAACCAACGCCAGCCACTGGGGTTACACAAGACAGTGCTCTCCCAGTGCCAGTCCCAAGCCTGGATAAAACTGAGGAGAGTTGCTTCAGGAAGGGCATCCGGCGTAAAAACTGTGCCAAATCAAATATGCGGACCAATGATCCGCAGTGGTGACCCCTAACGGGTAACTCATAACTCATTTAAAAGTAAAGAAGTGCTGCTTTGTTTATGCTGATGCTGTGAGCAGCCATGTTGGTTTGATATCACTTGCTGAACTCGGAGTTGAGGAGATCGTCCCGAGTTTAAGAGTAGGAATTCCGAATCGAGGAAGCGTTTTCTTTGGTTTTTCCTAATCAGATATCAGAAATTCTATAAATGTCGGAAATATTCTAAAGACTCCTTGAGTGTGGACAACTTATGCAGCTCGTTTGGCTTTAACCGACAGATACATTTCGATGCAGATTTTTGTCCTTTCAATTAAGTATGAAGCTTTAAGTGAATTACTAACTATGACTGAGATATGAAATACAGATTTCGAGCAGTTTCCGCAGGCTGTGCTACGGGTTGCTCGAATGAATACTTGTAGAAATACATCACTGCCCTTACGTAATCTGTGAATGACAGGTGAAGACAGACAGCACACCTACATACACTGAAACACACAGGTATGGCATATTAACAAACTGTAATGATGCATGTTCTCACAACCGCAAAGGTTTTATTTTTTATAAATCTCTCCAGAGATACGCTCTGATGAAGTTGACAGCAACTGAGAGCGTATACATATTTGATCTCAGTGCGGTGTAAGAACAGGCCAAAAAATCACCAGGCTCAATACAAACACAAGCAAAAACAACTGTGAAGGATGACTGCAAACTTCCAGTTACATCACCTTCTCCATCTGACTGTAATTCTCAGACAAGTTTCAATCTAGCCCCAACTTTCATTTATAACCTACATTCCTAATATGTTCTTTGTTTAATACAAAGCAGCTCCATTAGACCTAATGAGGAAATATTTTCAGTCACTTTTCACACAACAAAACAAACCCTAGAGTTACACTTATCTCAACAATTATTGCGAACTGATTCGAGTGACTTATATTCCAACATGCCGTGACTCTAACAATCTGATTCACTTGAAGAAAATGTCTGACTTGATTTTAAGACATAAAAGCAGACTAGCTCTCTGTCCGGGCAAATGTAGCTGCTTAGACAGCAAAAATCTAGTGTGCTGTCTGTGAAGTTAAAATAATCACCAGACAGTTTTGGAACAGTCGGAAATGACATATCTGGACTTTCGCAAAACAATGAATTATTAAAGAATGAGCTGGAGTTTAGCACATGACCATAGAAATAAACATGATTGCTAAAGCCATACAATTTTAACACGTTGAATCATGCATTATAATTTATTACGAACCTGTATCTTTTTTCATTTTAGAAATCTGAACAGTTTTATACCTAAGATCATAATCTGGTGACCGGTTTGGAAAGTAGCCTGATTAAAGCAGAGGATTAAGGAACAATTATTTCGTAATTAGTTTAAAAGTCTTGATCTGTAATCCGTCTTATTCAACCGTCTCCCACAGGGCATCGCTGATTAGCCGTGACACACAAAAGAGATACCCAAAGCTAATTTATAACAGGCCATACAGCATTTTCCTGTCCTATTATCCCATTGTATATGGTTTGTTAAAGTGACATTAAATGTGCTAGTATGTATTCAGTGTCCACTCTGACTCAGTTTCAGCTATCTGTCCAAACACGTTAGTTTTAAGCACTGCACGTCAAGCATGCTTCTGTTACGTAGTGTATCATAGAACCTCTTTTGTAACTGGGATGAGTGAGGCAAGATGCAGTTATGCAGCCTAATCCATATTTGATAGCTGTCCTGGTAACCAGAATAACAAACATGTCTAATATGTCCCTATATGTCAAGCCTTTTAACTAACTACGCGTGTGTTTGGAAAGCATTTGTTCTGTCTCTCCGGATTTATTTGAATGTGTCTTTGCATGACATTTTCTTTCCGGATTCCTCCAGATTGCTTGTGTAAAGCTTTGTGTAATTTAATAGACTTACACATTTTTATATTTGAAACACTGTTCAAATTTTGGCAAATTTGCGTACATTACGTCTTAGTGACTGAATGAACTTTGACCATATCCATTATTTATTTATTTATTTATTTATTTATTTATTTATCTGTCTATCTATCTATCTATCTATCTATTTATCTATTTATCTATCTATTATTTTTACAGAAGTTAAGACTTGAGATGTAGTAAGGGTGAGCTGGTTCTCAACCACTGAGCACCACAAACTGAAGATAAGAGAAGAGAGCATGTGGCATTGAGGTTGAATAGCTCCCTCTAGTGTTCAGTTTAGTAACGTGGCCTAGTTTTATATTTTTGTATCTAGTATTTAGGTCAAAATAGTCAAAAAATCTCAGAAGACTGGCCTTTACAATCAGGCAGGAGTGGACAATATTTCAGTTATTGTACTTTGTTACTGTACTTAATTACTATTTTGGAGGATTTATACTTTAATCAAGTATTATTGCAACTCCCGTTTGTATGTAAACTCCTGAGAAAAAAAAACAGAAAAAAAACACTTTTTTACTTATTACATTTTCACGTTGACCTTCAAAGTACTCATTATAAAACTCAAATCCTAAGTGATATTTTTCCTGCCTATATTTCACATCAGTTCATGTCAGGTGAAAGTGTGCACAATGATTCATACAGGATGACATCTCTCCTTTGCTTCTAACGTAAAAATGAAGTACAAATTCAGCGTTAAATCTGAGGTTAGTTCCACTTTTAGTAATTTAACTAGCTAATTTTGTTTTCGTTGGTAATGCCACCTCATTCATTCCAACAGGTTTATTAATACTAATCAGCAAGAAGAACTCCTTGTTTTTCTCAGTTAGCAGAATATTTTTTAAATCAAATTGTTTTCGATCCCACTCCAATACTTGAGTGTGTTTAAATGTAGATATTTGATGATTTTCACTCAAGTAAATTTTTGCCTCCATACTTATAGTTTTACTTCTTCTACTTTTACTTCTACAGTTTCTCTGTACTTTTTCCACCTCTGTCGGTGGTCAGCCCAGCACTATCTCATACTCGCCAACGTCTATCATCTATCTAAAACCTAAAACATTGTCATTAGTGGCATCGACTAAGCCCTGGAAAGGATGATAATGCTGTGAAGAGAGCCATTCACCTCCTCCAGGATTATGAGTCATTTCCCAGTCAACAGGAACATGTGGTCAGTTTCAACAGTTTTTTTAAACCAGATGTGGTTTTGGGTAGATTGCTCCTTCTGTGGCTTGTCAAGAGCTACTGAGTTCAAGTCAATTAAGTGTTGAAGGAAAGAACGAGCCTAATGGCAAAATCCATCCACTTATCATGATCTGCTTCTGACCTCTAGAGCAGGACAGACTGTTAGGCTAGAAAGCAGAAAAAATATTTCATCATTTTTATTTCAAAACAGGAAGTGATAAAGATATAAAGAAACTGCACACACCTGTGCTGACTGGTCTCTGAGCTAGTGTTGTCTTTTACCAACGATTTACCAATGATTCTTACGGGATGACAGCTCCTTTACTTCCCACGTAAAATAAATAAATAAGTAATTCACCATAAAATCAAAAGAACCTAGTTGAGGCAAATTAGTTTCAAGTTTGGTAAACGTGCTAGATAGTTTTGTTGTCGTTACAAATGCCATCTCATTAATTCCAACAGGGTTATTAAACATGGGCTAACCAGCAAGCCCTGTTCTAGGTTATTGTTTTCATTTCCTAGGAACCCATCTTAAATCAGAAAGCGATGCCAGTGTACAGATTGAGTTTGCTGATAAGAGACACTCTGTAAATACACTGCTGGTGGAAATCAGTCATGGTAGTGATATGTGAGATATTAATGAAGTATTCTGTGCTGTCATTCGCACAGGGGTGCCAACATTTACAGTTGGCCATAGAATTTATGATTTTTGCAATTTGGGAGACATCTGAAAACTTTCTGCTTTTGTAGCTAAAACAACAATCAGACCAAACACAACTAAAACCGAAAAGTCGTCACTGAAGAGGAAAGGATGCAGGCTGAGAAAGACTCATTCGCGTTTTACTTTGGCTTTGCCCTGACTTTATCTCTTTGAATTAGTGAACATCGGAGCCAAAAAAACCCAAAAGAAAAGCATTTCACATTTCTGCGTCATTAAACATGTCATTCAATAATTAAAGGACAGGGTAAAACATGCTCTGTGTAACCATTGAATTTTTTTCAGTATACTTATATATTATTATGAAGCACACTTCATAATAAGCACACTTATTAATAAGCTTTTTTTTTTTTTTGTACCGAACTTGTTTGTTATGCCATTAGGCACTACCCTGCTGAAAAACGCAGCTTGGTTTGACCAGCTTCCAGCTGCCAAAACACAGGCTGAGCTGGTCAAACTGGTAGACCTGGTAGATCTTTGCCACTTTCCTTATTACTTGACTAAATTCATCACAAAATGTTTGAGATTTTCTAATTGCCTCACTGCTGTGTTATTTTCTTAAAATGAACTTGTCTAGGTTGTAGTATTAGTATGAATAATTCAGAAACTGCTTCCTTTCTGCCAGAACTTACCAGCTAGGAAAAGACATTCTACCAGTTTCACCAGATCAGCCTTTTTTTTTTTTGGCAGCTGGTAGCTTGTCAGACCAAACAGGATTTTTCAGCAGTACATTGTTTCATTTGTTTGAGGTTTTCCTTTCATAATCAGTAATAAAATTGTAAAATTGAGTCTGTACCTGTACACCTGCTCATTCATACAATTATCCAATCAGCCAAACTTATGGCAGCAGCACAATGCATGAAATACTTACAGAATCTTCCAATCCAATCTTCCAATCCTTCAGCTATCCAGTTTGGGTGAGTCTGCACCCACTGTAGCATCGGATTCGTGTTCTTCGCTGACAGGAGTAGAACCTGATGTGGTCTTCTGCTGTTGTAGCCTATCTGCCTCAAGGCTCA